ATAGTAAACTGCCCACATCCAAGCATATATTTTAATCGCGCAAACTTGTGCAAATTAACATACAGTATATCATGTAGCTTACTTTCTATTATACTTTATTTGTAATTTCATAATAAATCAAAAAATGATACAAATTTACAGATTGTTATGTTAAAATTTTGTCACAGCAGACAAAAATGTATTGATTGTTGGAGAAAATGAAATACTCCATAAACCACTCCATAAACAACTCAGATGAAATCAGGTGGTGTACATATGCAGGTTGTTGCTGTCCATTTTCCAAATCAATGTCAGAGATGATCTTTGGAAGGGCCATGGCTGTAGAAAATTTTTAAAAATATCTGACTTATTTTTTTTTCTTTTTACAAAGTTCATGCCTTATAAACATGCAGAAGCTCAAACAATTGAGTCTATGCCCCATACCAGACATCTATTGTTTTCATTAATGATATACTAATCCTGTAGACAAAAGTACAAATAAATGTCCTCTTCTCTTACTAAAAAACATTAAATATTGCACATTTTTGCATCTAGAATTACCCTGTAATTTAGCAATATACCTCTTTGGGTCACACCAAATACAACAGACCTAAAAGTGGACTGGTTAGAGGACAGGGTAACCCTGTATGCAGATGACCTTCTTTTTTTTCTAAATTATATTGGGTCCTCCTTGCAAAGACCATTGTGGGTACTAAATGATTTCACTAGAATTTCTGTGTCAATCTTCTCAGTCAATCCTGGAACCAGATATGCAGCAGACGATACTGTATAATTACAAGGGGTCACGAATGTTACCTACCTAGGCATTGTGGTGACAACTAAACCCACTGATCACAATTACCTTGAATTTGTTGCCAGTACTCCAAGGAATAAAGGCAAAACTGAAAGTATGGAGAAGCCTGCCCTTCATGCTAATTAGGTGTATCAATCTGATCAAGATGAAAATCTTGCTTAACACGTTCAAGCCTAAGGGTAAAACAAATCTTAATGCTAAGCACAATTTTGCAACGTTGACATGTGTTAGTAAAAACCGTACATATCATCACAACTACTTTGTACAACCAGGTGAATTATACCGCGTTTTTTTCAGGACAAACTGGGCTTTCATTCGGTGGTAAATGGTAAAGGAAAACTAGCCCAGAATAGTAAAAAAAATCATTTTTTAAATTTAGCTGTGTGTTTCTTGTTACTACCATAACCTACCACCAAAGAACAACCCAAAATATATTTTCCAGCTCTTGGCAATCGCAGCGATACCATATATGTGTATGTTATTTGTTGTTTGTACCCGTAGTACAGCCCAGAAACAATAGTACGCAGTTTGTTTTTTTTACCTAAAACACACTGACATTGACACTAACTGACACTAAATCCAATTTAAAAAAAAAAATCCTGACCTTTGACCCTGAACTTGACCCAAACACTTACCCTGGCACTGAACTAGATCTTTATATATATATATATATATATATATATATATATATATTTATTTATTTATTTATTTTAACAAATATTTCTCTAACAGGAGTTAGAGAGATACAGTGTATCTCTCTCCTCCATTCATAGAGAGAGGGAAAAAAACAAGGGGGCTGGGCTGTACACTGACTGATCACTGTGATAGCCAATCAGAGGCTATCACAGCAATCATGTGACCCGGAATCGGGAGTCCTGGGTCCTGATCCTCACAATGGGACCCAGGGCTCTCAGTGACACCCTGGTCTTTGTGATGGGAGTGTGCTGTGTGGTGTGCTCCTAGCACAAAGACAGGTACGCAAATATGCAGCCCCATGGCAAAAAGCCCAGTTCTGTGAGGCCACATATTTCTGTGACGTTGGCATCAAGGGGTTAACTCTACCTACAACGTTTGAAAATCCCTAGCTTGAATACCTAAAACCTTTCTTTAAAATCTTACCCAGCTATTGACCACTTCCCTCTGGGGCGCACAAGCCTCCTGATTAAAACCATCTACACTCACCAGGACTCACCTTACAGGAAGGGGCACAATGCCAGACTTCCATAGATAATGACTACCAATCTTCTGACTGTGAGCTGGTTGCTTAACCAAGATACCAGCAACTCAGCATCCATGCTGTAAGCTGCTATTCTAAACTCTCATGAAGCCCTTAATTTATTCCCCCTCAGGTGGCCAAGAGCACCATATCTACTTATCCCTTCAGTGCTGACTACTATTGAAGCATGGAAGGCATGATGTAGCCAGCATCCGCAGGATCCCAACTGCTTTTTACCAGCTATCTTCCTCTAGATAAATCCAACTCTTTCAACAAAATCAAAAATACAGCGGCGAAACACTGTGGTCATTTGAAGGAAATGCAGGACATGCATGAATGTGCAAAAAGAATGATCTGCCTTAGCAAAACCTGCCAGTTGAAAGGGTTTAATAAATTACGAGGAAAAACCTAGGCCATCAGGGCAGACCCAATAAAAAATTTTATGTCAAACGTGTCCTGAGAAAAGTGCTGGATAAGCCATTTCGTTTGTGAATGGGTGTTGTGTGCACCTGAGAACGTGGTTTAAAAATAAAATAACGCTAGGTTTTGCTATAGTACAGTTCTCTACAGTATTTCCCTTGCAACCCTTTGTCGCCCTCATTGTACACAAACCTGCAGCTATTTCTTTCAAATATATCACAGCTCTCACTATGCACCTGTCTCTAGATTGGCATACATTAACCACTTCAATACCGGGCACTTTTACCCCCTTTCCTGCCCAGGCCAATTTTCAGCTTTCAGCGCTGTCACACTTTGAATGACATAGCGCGGTCATGCAACACTGTACCCATATGACATTTTTATCATTTTTTTTTCACACAAATAGAGCTTTCTTTGGTGGCATGTACTCGCTGCTGGGTGTTTTATTTTTGCGCTATACACAAAAAAAGTTTTTCTATGATACAATTTTGCAAACAGTTAATTTTTCTCCTTCACTGATGTGCATTGATGAGGCTACACTGACAGGCAGCACTGACTGGCACTGATAGGGGGCACTGATGAGCTGCCACTAATATGCAATAATGATGGGCACTGATAGGCGGCACTGATATGCAACAATGATGGGCACTGATATGCAACAATTATGGGCACTGATAGGTGGCACTGACTGAGGGCATTACAAATGCAACTCAACATCCAGTGCTAGGGCTGCATTGCCAGCACTGAATGTTGTCTTACATTCGTAATGCTTTTAATGTTCTACTTTTGTGAGTAGCAATTTGTTATCTTCTGAGTTTTTACGCAATAAATCTCTGGTAATGGGCTAGGCATTTGCACCCTCTTGTGTGTTTTTTTTATAGTTGTCTACTGGATCCCCTGATCTGAGAAGGGCTGCAACATCTGGGCATTCCTGATTGATGTCCATCTGTTGCTATTCACAGGCATTTACACATTTGACTTGGGTAGACATCTGAGCTCTGGAAGTGGTTGTATAGTTTAACCATTTTTTTAATGTTTAACAACTCTTTAAATGCATGTAAATATGTATTTTTATAGCCTTGAATGGGATATCCCAAAAAAGGAGCTTTACATACTGCTAGGGAATTTTAAAGAGCTGAAAGTTGAAGAGTATGCACTCTTTGAAATCCTCCTCCCACCGCCCATGTACATACCCTCTCCTCACCATAGATAGTAACAATAAAAAATACTTCAAATGCAGACTTAGTTCCCAACCTGTCCAGTGTTTATGCTTTCTTGTAGTCTGCAGTGGGCACTCAGTGGCCTATATTCTTACACACAAACGTGCACAACATCACACACTATGTACATGCACTTTGGACAGCCATTATTTTTTATGTCCAGGTCAGCTGCACAAGAATGATCAAAGGTATAGCAATAATTATTTAAATTATTTAACAAATTTACTCATGATTCATAGTTAAAATGCAAGATTGATGTTTTTCTTACATAACGTGTTACAACACTTTTTTCCTCACATACAAATATCAAATCACCAAGGAAAAGCACACTGTCCTAATGGTCAGCGCTTCTGCTTTGCACTACTTGGTCCGTGGTTCAAATTCCAGCAAGGACACTATCTGCATGTATCTATGTTTGTGTAGGTTTCTTCCCACACTCCAATGACACTACAGGTAAATTAATTGGCTCCATCTAAATTTATCCTAGTATGTTTTCATATGAGATAGGGACCTAGATTATAAGGTCCATGAGGGCAAGGAGTGACGTGAATGTACTGTATGTATAGTGCTGCTTAAATTGGCAGTGCTATATGAATATTTGTAATAAAAAATAGGTACACTTATATGTAAATTTGCACATAGAATCTACTTCTGCTCATGGTGGGAGCTAAGATGACTTGGTGTTTGCTGACCGTGATTAGATACATAAGATGTACTGTATGTACATGACAATTAAAATTCATACCAGTGCATGCTACCAAAGATGTCTCTAAAGATCTACTGTAGATGTATCAATGTGTGAATGTTCTACCATGCAAAGCACCTACCCCTCATCAATATATTCGTATCCTCAATGCATCACACTGCAGAAGTCTGTGACCACCAGTCACTTATCCTTTTACATATTTTTTTCTGTTCTTGAACATGTAAGAAATCAAATAGAATATAATTGTTTGCAAAATATTTTTATTCTGGGTGTATATATGGTCTATATGTCTGTTTATGTTTTTCAGGAATAAATCTTGTCATCCAAAATGAAGCAAACTTCATCCATGCAGTTCCTTTTGGTAGGGCTCTCCCACTTCCCAAATCTCCAACCTCTTTTCTTTATCATATTCTTACTGATTTACATGATGGCCTTTGTTGGAAATATTTTAATATCAGTTGTTATCAGTTCAGATTCTCGTCTTCACACTCCAATGTATTTCTTTCTTATAAATCTTTCCATACTGGACATTTGTTGCACAACGGCTGCTATTCCTAAGATGCTTGAGATACTTGTGATAGATGAGAAGTCAATTTCTTATTCTGGCTGTATCTCTCAGTTATATCTATTCACTGCTGCTTTAAGCACTGAACTGATTCTTCTGACCGTTATGGCATATGACAGATATGTGGCAATATGTTTACCTTTACGATACAAAACAATAATGAGCAGGACAACATGTGTATGTTTGGCAGGAGCTGCTTGGATCCTTGGCTCTGTGAACTCAATGACTCATACATGCCTTATACTGAAACTCAGATTTAGGGAGCAAAATATCATTGACCATTTTTTCTGTGAAATTCCTCCAGTTTTAAAGCTGGCAAATTCTGACACATATGTTAATGACATAGTCATTGTAGCATCTGATGTTCTGCTGGGAATGATATGTTTTATTCTGACTGTTATTTCCTATACATACATAATTTCTACCATTATGAAAATTCCTTCTGCCGAGAAAAAAAAGAAGGCCTTCTCAACCTGTGCCTCCCACGTTACTGTAGTAACTATCTTTTATGGAGGAGTCATCTACACCTATGTACGACCTGCCTTCAGCAACCACTTAGAAGCTGACAAAGTTGTATCAGCTCTGTATGCCATTGCATCTCCAGTGTTAAATCCCATTATATATAGGCCTCAGGAATAAGGAGGTGATTAATGCCATTAATAAGACATTTTGCAAAAAGACGATTTTTCAAAAATGAATCACTATGCATTAGTATCTTCCCTTATTTCAGGAACTCTTATGATTTTGGCCAGTATGTTCACAAAGATTCTTAAACATTTCCTAAAAAATTAAAATGTATGTTGCCAGCAGATATGTGGTTAACGTATGCTTGAGAAAAATACTTTACCTGATAAAAAAATATTGACCTGAAAACTACCCTGCGTTGATGGGCACCAGGATCTTGCATACCTTATAGGTCCACAAAAGGTGAGGATAAGTGGGTGTGGAGAGAAGGTGCAAATTACCAACATTTAGGCAGAAACCTCTTTACTACATATCAGCTAGTAAAGTAAATTCCCATGTTAACAACAATAAATTGTTGATTTAATGATTGTATTGCATAGTGGGAGGTGACCACCAGTTTCTTTATATAGCTACATTTTAGGGGGGCTAATTTGCATCACTTATTCTGTCACACATGTCTGCCATCATTTTTAAAATCAGCAGTCATGTCCAAAATATCTGCCATATAATGGAATGCCTAACGCATATTCATGCAGGTACATCTAACTTGACATTGCATATCTGTCCAATCCTCTATTAACTATTCTTGAGAAATTGAGAACATCCTATCATATTGAGAACATTAGAGAAGACCCCATAAAAACTAAGCAATGAGAAATAGGATTTCTAGGTTATGTCCCTTTTTGATTCAGATCAAGACAGTCATATCAAAGAGCAATGGATAACAATTTTTTCCAGACCTTGAAGTCTTAATTTGAAACTGGATTGAACATCTTACTACACTGTTCAACAAATTTTTATTTTTTGCCAGTTTTGGAAACAAAACGATCCATTTCTTAATGAATTTCACATTCTGAGTTCAAATATAACAATGAAATTTGTCAATTGGCTCTAGTTTTTCTGTAAACGGAAAGTTTTCTACTATAGGCGTAATGACTACATAATGCACAATAATTATATAGATAGATGTCTTTCCACAAATATAAAGCAAGTGATATTGACTACATAACAAAGCCTAAATGGCATAATATATTGCATAGGATTACCAAGAAAAATTATAGCCATAAGCTAAGTTGAATCATTTTAATACTTAGGATTCTCACTAGTTTTGTCTTCAGTTTGTGTCGGTTTTGCTTCTCTTGGCTTTTCTCTTGTATTCGAGGAAAGGGCTATCTCTTACAACTGTCCAGCAATAGTCAGCAAGCATTGATGGGCTCCATTTACCTTGATATCTTCTTTCCATAGCTGCAATGTCTTGATGGAAGTGCTCTCTGTGTTCATCACTCACTGCTCCACAGTTTGGTGGGAAAAAATCCAGATGCGAATGTAGAAAATTAATTTTTAGAGACATGTTGCAACCCAGATTTCTGTAAGTCTGGATGAGTTTTTCTACCACTTTCTTGTAGTCTGGTGTTTTATTGTTTCCAAGAAAATTTGATGTCACTGATACAAATGCTGTCCAGGCAGCCTTTTCCTTTCCACGCAACAGAGAAAGAAACTCATCATCATGAATAAGTTTACGAATCTGTGGCCCAACAAAGACTCCTTCATTTATTTTTGCAGCACTAAGTGCTGGAAATTTGCTAATCAGGTACTTCAAACCTGCTTTATTCTTGTCCATTGCCTTAACAAAGTTTTTCATTAATCCCAACTTGATGTGTAATGGAGGTAATAAGATCTTATTGCTGTCTACAAGTGCTGGATAGTTAACATTTTTTTTTCTCCAGGCTGCAATGACTGGCGTAATGGCCAGTCTCTTTTGGCATAGTGCATTTCTCTCGCACGACTGTCCCACTCACAGAGGAAGCAGCAGTACTTTGTATATCCACCTTGAAGTCCAAGTAGGATAGCAATCACCTTCAGGTCACCACAAATCGACCATTGATGTTCATCATAGTTGATGCACCTTAAAAGCTCTTTCAAGTTTTCATACGTTTCTTTCATTGAAACTGCGTAAGCAACTGGAACTGACGGCAGCTGATTGCCATTATGGAGCAAAACAGCTTTAAGACTCGCCTTTGAAGCATCAATGAACAGCCTCCACTCATCGGGATCATAGCATACGCCGATGGCTGAGATTAAACCATGAACATTGTTACATACAGCAATATCACCTTCCTGGACGAAGAATGGGACCAGATCTTTCTGACGATGACGGTAGAAAGACGTACGAACATCACTTGCTAGGAGATTCCGCTGTTGTAGTCTTGACCCCAAAAGCTCTGCCTTGTTCTTCGGAAGATCCAGGTCTCTGATAAAATCGCTCAATTCCACTTGTGTAATGAGGTGTGGTTCAGTGGGTGTGGATGGAAGAAAGTCTGGGTCATGTGAGGTTGACAGTTGATGACTACACGCTTCAGGTTCTTCCTCACTTGACTCAACCACAAAGGATTCTGGTGCTTTAGGAATTGGTAGCCCCTCTCCATGAGGAACTGGACGTATTGCCGATGGAATATTTGGATAGTGCACAGATAACTTTTTCTTCTTATTTGGCCCTTTTGTTGGAGGCACCATACAAAAGTAACAATTACTAACATGATCTGTTGGCTCTCTCCAAATCATTGGCACAGCGAAAGGCATAGATGCCTTTTTTCCATTCAACCATTGCTCCAGTGCCGTCCCACAAGAATTGCAGCAAATATGTGGTGCCCAGCTCTTGTCCTGGTCTCCTATCTTGCAGCAAAAATACAAGTTGTAGGCTTTCTTAATCATTCCTGTTATCCTCCTTTTTTGTGAGATAAAAGTTATTTCACCGCAGATATAGCAGAAATTATCTGCTTTATTCACACAAGTTCGAGGCATTACTGAGTAGCCTATATAAGCATAAAACGAAATGTAAAGACGCTGTGGAACTACAATCAGCTACAGATACTGCAGCTTTTATGCAGTGAAGTGATGCAATTAAAGGCTAATATTGCATCATCTCAGTATACATGCAATTTTCTATTGGTCACCAGTATCAATTGCGCAATATGCAGCTGAAGTTGCATCATAATTTTGAATGGCTTACGTCATTAGATGGGTAAATATATCATGGAAACTAGAGCCAATCAACATTTTTTAGGGTCATTTTCGTTTTCAGCACCCCAAAATTATGTAAGATTAGCTAATTTTATGCCCAAAACTTTTTACCTGTTGAACAGTGCTATCAGACTACAACAATTTAATTCAGTTTTGTACCACATTTCATCCCTCTCCATATGGATAGAATGAGTATATTGCAGAACACACAATGGCCTAGATCAGTTGCAAAACTATAAGTTCCATCATGCCTGTCTGCCTGTGGGAGTCATGCTTGTAGCTGTCAATCTTGCAATGCCTCATGGGACTTGTTGTTTGGCAACATCTGGAGGGCCACCAGTTTGACACCCATGGCCTAGATGTAAGGCTGACAATGCAATATTTTGGCAGCTAACTTTATAATGCCCTCCAATACATTCTTAGTGGTACATAGCAATTAGGTTTGTTTTCTACTTACCATATGTAAAAATTTCTGTAAGAGAAAAAAAATAAATAAAGATTATCATATCGAAAACCTGCTATGAAATGAAAGTTCCAGCTTTCTGGAAAACTTTGATCTGTTAACTGAACTTAACCTTTACCATTACCTGCACCTCCAAACTCTGTTCTACTCAAGAGGTGATCCTCCACTGAAGTTTTCCAACACTTCGAATAGTGTTAATCTCCTGGTCCCCCCATTGTTTGATGCAGACTGGACATGAACCACAAGGTGGTTGATTTACTAAAACTGGGGAGTGCAAAATCTGGTGTAGCTGTGCATGGTAGCCAATCAGCTTCTAACTTCAGCTTGTTAAATTAAGCTTTGAAAAAAATAAACCTGGAAGTTGATTGGTTTCTAGGCAGAACTGCACCAGATTTTGCACTCTCCAGTTTTAGTAAATCAACCCCATAGTGTTCTTCAAATGGAGGCATTCCAAGGTAGTTCATTGAACCACTTTTATTTAGCAAAGAAACAAGCATCCACTGTGAGACAGGACTGCAGCATAAGACTGCAGACTAAAGCCGGCCATACATGGTTCGAAATTCAGAAGGGACCAGCTGAATTTAAATCCATGTAATGGCAGGCTGGTTGTACAGAAATCAATGTACAGGTCTGTATAACCAGCCTGTTGGATTTTCCCTGCTCAATCTGCGCCACTAGCATTGATCAGTACAGTGGGGAAGTCTCCCCGCTGTCAAAATACAATAGCTTAGTAGGGGATTCCCTCATCCATACCAAATGTGTGGATGGGGTAATTCTTTTTGTTTGTTGTTCAACTCACTGGTTGAACCTATAAAAAATGACTCAGCCTAAGCCTAAGTAAATCAGTCTACCACTGCTAAGTAAGCAGGCAAATGTTAACGCTTTGAGTGCTGGAATAATTAATCAAAATGTTTAAGTTAATTTACACTTGCTGTAGGTGGGGCAGTAAATATAGGCAGCTCAGTAGCATTTTTAACCACCCAAACTACCCCCTTAAGCTGGGAGAACAGCCACATGGAGGTATACATATGCTGTATCAAAAATGATTCCCCCTCACGTTTGGAAGGCAGTACCACTAGCCTGTTCAAGTGAATAGGACTACAGCGCAACTGCAAGCCAAACATTAGGTGTGTAATCAAAATCAAAATATCCTATTCGGCTGTCAAAAAAAAGCATGCATTCAGCAGTGTCACCTTCTTAACACCTGTCAGCCTCCCCCTTTTTGCTCTGTGAAAAAAGATCCACTGTGGATGTTAACGTGGACCTGTACCTCCAATCACAAAAATCCATGATGCATGCAGTTCTGTATGCATGAGCTCTGAGGAAAGGAATTCATCTCCGCGTTAGCATACCCTGTTTCAAGACAACCATTTGCTGGGACTGTCACAATGGTTCCTTGTTTGTATACATGACTCTTGGTTTGTGAGTATATACTTTTGTCATTTTCAATAAATTATTTTTTATCACGGTA